GGGAAACCTTCCCCAGTCATTCAAGACTTTTGTTTTTTTTTCAGATGTTTGTGGTCCCATGCCAGTCAAACTAAGGGTGAGAAAATTTATGTAACATTCATAGGCTGTCACTCAAAAGTATATTTGGACATACCTCTGAAACATTTAAGGAATTCAAACTGTTGGGTGCTTGTGTAAAAACAGGTTCAACTTGAAAAAAACAAGGAAATTAAGCTCTGATCATGGAGGAGAATATTGTCAGTGGGAATTTGAAAAATATTTGGCAATGAAGATCTAAAATATGAAAAAACCCACACTGTTATAGCCGTGAACAAAATAGGTTTCTGAAAAAAAAGAAACAAAGTCTGCTAAGATCAAAAGATCTTTGTTATTGCAAGATTACCAGACTATTTTTGAGGAAAAGCAGTTACTCATTTTTAAAATTATTTGCCTATATAAAGTGAAGATAAAACCCTATATGGGGGCAGCCACGATCTGTCGCACCTAAAGGTATTTTGACGCAAAGCTTTTCTTTATCCCGGCAATTCCCGTTTTGTTTAGCAACCATTCAGAGTTACAACAGCGTAAAAAAATAGCTTTATGACCAATGCTAACATTTATGAGTGTCACAGTGTCCTGCAGTCATGTGATTTGGGCACTTCCCAATTAGCTTACAACAAGCAAAGTTAATAGAGAAGAGAGAAGTAAAATTGTAAGTTGAGGTTATGTGAAGTTTCACTTAACAACTGAATGGGAAATGAGGTCCTAAGCCTGTCGCAGTCAGGTATTTTTCTGCTTTGTAAACCACAGCATTTAGTGATGGAGTTGCTGGTCCCAATTATAGTCCCTAAGCGAGGACTACAGGTGGTCCTTGAATTATGATCATATTGAGCCCAAAATTTCTGTTGCTAAGCAGGACGGTTGTTAAGTGAGTTGCACCCCATTTTATGACCTTTCTGCCGCACTTGTTAAGTGAATCACTGCAGTTGTTAAGTGAATCATGTGGTCATTGGATGAATCTGGCTTCCCCATTGACTTTGCTGGTTGGAAAGTTACACATGGTAATCACATGACACCGGGACATAAATACGTGTCAGTTGCCAAGCGCCTGAATTCTGATCACGTGACCACAGTGTTGAAAGAAAAATCTTCATTAGGGTCCAGTCCAAGCCGGGAATAATCAAAATGGAGACTGCTTTAGAAAGAAGGTTGCAGTTTATTGAAGAGGAGAGCCAGACAGAAAGACGGCTCTGGAAAAAAACTGACCACATGTAGTAGGGAGTGGTGGGCTTTTATACCTTCTTGAGCTTTTGTTTGGAGTTGTTCCTGCAGCATGAACTTTGACCTGAGTGTGCCTTTCTGGTATTCTGATAGTGGTGGGTTAATCCTATTATGTCCTAAAAGTCATATCCTGCTTCCCTGGGGCTGTGGCTGATGACTGTTAGATTTTTGGCGTGAGGGATTGTTGATTCTAGGGATCTTTGTCTTTTTTAATCCTAGCTTCCTGGCTTCAATCTTTCTGACAGGATTATCACATCTGCATTTCTGCAGACCTGGTTTCTGTTTGGGGTAGAGAGACTGGGGGGGTGGGGGTTGGTTTCTGCCTTTAAGATCCTTTGGGGAAATATAATATTCTGCCTTTTTAACATTCCCCAAAATATTTCTTTCTCTGGATTCTTCCCACAACAGAAATACTGTAGCCTCGCGTGAAAAAAGTCACTTTTTTTCCAGTGCTGTTGCAACGTCGAGCAGACACTAAATGAATCGTTGTAAGTTGAGGACTATCTCTACCTGTATCTCAAGTTATAATAATAATAATAATGATAAAGTTGGAAGGGACCTTGGAGGTCATCTAGTCCAACACTCTGCTCAGGCAGAAAACCCTATACCATTTCGGACAAATGTCTGTCCAGTTTCTTCTTAAAAACTTCCAGTGTTGGAGCATTCACCGCTTCTGGAGGCAGGTTGTTCCACTGGTTAATTGTTCTAACTGTCAGGAAGTTTCTCTTAGTTCTAGGTTGCTTCTCTCTTTGGTTAGCTTCCACCCGTTGCTCCTTGTCCTGCCTTCAGGGGCTTTGGAGAATAGCTTGACTCCCTCTTCTTTGTGGCAGCCCCTGAGATATTGGAACCCTGCTATCATGTCCCCCCTCGTCCTTCTCTTTGTTAAACTAGACATACCCAATTCCAGCAACCGTTCCTTATATGTTTTAGCCTCCAGTCCCCTAATCATCTTTGTTGCTCTTCTCTGTACTCTTTCTAGAGTCTCAACATCTTTTTTACATCCTGGTGACCAAAACTGGATGCAGTATTCCAAGTGTGGCCTTACCAA